ATAGTTTTGAACATTTTCATGTCATGTTTTCCTGTCGGAGAAACACCTAGCTCTAATGGTCTTTATCCATTAAACCTGGACATACCTGTCACATCTTTGATTCCTTTTATTTGAAAGATCTTCCTTTAGGAAGAGGTTTCAAATTTTGAGTGTATAAATATTTATTTATTTGGAGGCATTACAGTGCTTAAAAACTAGGGTAAAATGATATTCTGCTGTATGTCATCAGTTTCTTTAAAAAATGGTCATGGGACTCTGTGAATTTGTGTACAGAATTGTATAAACTATATTCAGAAACATTTATTCCATCTCTAGTCTGTCTGCATGCCAGTGCAGGCCTAAAAAAAAGTACACTCATTGGACTCAGGTGGGCTCTGACCCCATGACATCTTGCAGGCTAATCAAGGATTGTGCCCCTAAACCTACAAACCGGATAAGTGTGGTCCAAAAGCAACAGTCTCTTCTGTTGGGTATTGCCTCCCTCCTTTACTCCTGTCAGGAATTCACTCCCAGCTTTTCAGCCTCCTTTAGTCACATGGCCTGGAGAAGGGTCTATGTTGATCTCGTTCCCTCCACCTGAGGTCCCTTACTGTGTTATTCTGTGGGCATTTGGAGATGGCTCCCTTCTGCCTCCTAGCAGTGTCTGGGATCATTGCTTTAAGAACCCTCTTAGGCTGGCTCAACTGCAGCTCTGTCATCCATCTGCTCTGGGATGCAAAGCATTTATCTCAGTGGTTCATTCATTGACTCTTCATGCTGCCAGCTCCGTTATTGAGACACAGGGGTAACAGATCCAGTGCATAAGTGCACCCTGGGGTGAATAAATTATCGAAGTTTCAGTGATTCTCAATAGCATGTGGTGCAGTGCAGGTTTAGGGGATGGAGGGAGGGAAACAAATGGACTTTCCCTGCCATCCCCATTCTCTCTTGCAGCAAGTAAATCTGAAGCCTCATTTCGCTGACACTAACTAAAATTGAAACCAAAGATCTTGTGGAGGACTGCAGGGTAGACTCAGCTCACACTCCCAGAAGCCAGGCCTGAGGGTAGTGGTGCAGGGTTTCCCTTCTGGGTAAATCTGCAGGACCCAGCTCTGCCGGTATGTGCAGGAGATCAGTAAGGGTGAGGCATCTTGGGCCTTGTCTAAGTTTTGTAACATTTTCAAGCTGTCACCTGGCGCACACAACTACTAAGATACAGAAAGCTCCACATAACCTTTACAACTTAAGGAGGAAAGGAGGCTGCATCAAATGTTACGACAATATTATTGTCTTGGTAAAAACTTCTGCTTTTATAAAAAGCCTAAACTAGCAACTTATCCTTTCTCATAAGAGCACAAAGATGAGCAACGTTAACATAAAACTATTCAGAATGGCTGTAAAAAGTATTCGAAAGCATAATGAATGGTCTCGTCAACAGTGTATCAGGATTTCACGCCAATTCATACTAAATAGTATAAGAGAAGGACACATTTTACAAACGGGTTTAATTCTTTGCTCAGTAGTGACATGGCTCGCTACTGGTGTCTCTACATGATAAGGTATCATAGTGCACAGCTACAAGGAAAGGGCTATAGATTTGCTAGGGGAACATTAATTGTGAATTTCCTGACTCTTGTGGATTTAATTTCAACCCTAATTCTGCCTTGGCACTAAACTTCATCTTCTTTCAGTAGTAACATGGGTTGACTATCATGAAGTCTTTCTGGCATTGGTGCTTTGACTTATGAAATGTTCTGTGTTTTGTGCAGATGTTGCTTGCTCTTCTAGAAATTCATGTTTGAAACAATGTCATCTTTTAGTTCCTGGCTTTTGTCATGTCAATTTTTAATTTACGTAATAAAAATAAACTGGATCTTCCACAGCTATCAGGCCCTCATCATTCTGTTCTTGCTGCTTGTTTGGCAGCAGTAAAATCAGACAACATAGAATGGCCTGTCAGCAAAGGAGGTAGACCAAGGACGCTGAGCTGGCCTGTTGAATATTGGCATGAAATTTGGGGAGATGTAAATGTTGCAACAAATGACATACTGTATAAATATAGCAATGCATTGGCCAACTTAGGGTTTTATAGACTGCAAAATTATACTGTTTGTGATAGGCTCTGCCATGAGTTCAGTGTAATTGAAATGTAAATGGATCTTAATTTGTATGGGATTTGTTTCTGCCACTAATTCCATGTTACTTTTTGCAATATGCTCTTGTAACCCTGTTACAATCATCTTATGAGAATTGGTTTCTTAATTAAATCCAAGAAAAAGTACCAATTTTTTTTCTTAATGACACTAATTTATGAAGAAGTTAGGATTTAGCTTTAGGTCATTTTTTTTCCAGTTCAGAGAAACATAATTAGGTTTTAAACGCATGCTTTTATATGTAGTTCAGAAAATGATTTTATTGTTATTTTCTTTCTAATGGCAGACAAGTTGGGATGGAAATACTGTTGCTTAACATAGAAGGCAGTTAGTACATATTATGGAGTTTGGAGTAGATGTACTAAATAGTAATTTGGAATGATGAAGGGTAACTACCTAGCAGCTTGTTAGTTTGATACATCTCTGCCATCTCCTATGAACTCATGAGCTGTTTTGTGTTTGGAGTGCATTTCTTCAGAGACAAAATAATCAAAAGAACCAGTGTTCCAGGATAAATATGCTTTTTTGGACATTTGGTAGGGGGCGGGGTAGGGGTATTTAAGAGTAAATTTAGTGCTAAGGAAAGGTGCCAGACACATGGCATTACCAGTCAAAGTTGGTTAGCCAAACAATAGCTTGAAAACGCCTCTCTCTCACCAACGGAGATTGATACAATGAATACCTGTTACCATTCACTAGGCTTTGCCCCCTCTGCCAGCTCACTGAACCCTTTTGTCTCATCCTCCCATTTGCACCTGTTTATTTTCGTATGGTTCTCTATAGCCTCCAAGTGTGCCTGGCTTTTTTGCCCTGTTTACCTGTCGGTTCATATATCTCTCGGGATCTGACCCACTCACCTGAAGCATACAAGTTCCTGTTTCCAAGACTGTCTTTGAAAACTCTCATTTTGGCCATCAACCATAGAACCCTGCCTTCGTGGCTTACCTCGTTCTTCACAACATGTTAAACATCAATTTAAAAATCAAAGTAGGCACTTGAAGCATGTCAGAAGTACTGCTCAGGTACTGCTTACTATGCTTTTATGCTGCACCCTTTTCTCCTTTCTCACCACGAGTAAAGGTAGGCTGTTGGTGGTCTGATCTGGAAGAGGGTTTTGAATGTACAGTGTTGAGGGAGATCAAAGAAGCAACTAACTCTGTGAAATGGTAATAATGGGAAACTTCAATTACCAGTATCCAAACTTTTAAACCATCACAATGGGGCAACATTTAGGGAAATGGTTGCTTGATTTTCTAGGTTTCAGAGTAGCAGCCGTATTAGTCTGTATATACAAAAAGAAAAGGAGTACTTGTGGCACCTTCATAAGTGAGCTGTAGCTCACGAAAGCTTATGCTCAAATAAATTGGTTAGTCTCTAAGGTGCCACAAGTACTCCATTTCTTTTTGATTTACTAGAGTACTACTTGGAACACCTAGTCCTAAAGCACACAAGAGGAAAGGTTTTTCTTGACTTATTCCTAACTGAGATACAGGAGTTGGTCAAAAAAGTAATTACAGCTTAACAGCTATTGGTGATTATAATTTAAGTACTGCATCCTCAGGGAGGAATTTCATATAAAAAATAAACCTGTCACTATGCACTTAGCTTTAGAAAGGGAGATTGGGGGAAAAAGGGAGCTGATCAAAAAGGCCCTAAAGTAAAAACTTAGGAAAGTAAAATCCTTAGCCTAAAACAGATACAAAGACTGTGCATATCCCTAAACTGAAAAGGAAACAGGAAGGTAAAAGAGATGTGGTTAATTGTCAGAGATGAAGAGAGTATTCAAGCCAAACCAGTATTCTTCCGAAAATGGAAATGCAACATTAAGTGAAACTAATAAAAATAACATAAACAATGGCAGATGAAATATATACATATGTATAATTTATGAAGACAGGGATTTTTGAAGAGTAAATAGTAATTACTATTACTGGAGCAATTTGGCCTCCTGTAGTCAATTAGAATTTTTTGTCAGCAAATTTTAGGTGGTCAGATCAGGAAAAGGTATCCAACCAAATAACTTTTTAAAGTAAAAATTACATTGATTTAGCTGATGCTTTTGTCAACTTTTTTTTACACTTGTTAATTGCCAGTCTTGTGCTAACAAGTTAAAGGACAAGAGACACATCTTAGCTGAGTTAGCAAAACTAAAATTGGCTGCAATACAAATCAGATGTCTAATAAGCTGTATAGTGAGCATCCTCCTGGTGGATATGGGGTGCACATGCTGAGCTAGAACTCCATATGGCGGACTATTTAATGATTGACAAATATGGATCCTATTAGCATGAAATTGGTGCTTAGCCAGCAACATTTTTTGAAGATCCCATACATTTTAAAAAAAAAACTCACTCTCTTGAAACAAACATTTTTTAGCTTTGTATCTCTGGCAACTTTGTTTCTGCCTCAACATGAGAATTTTTAAAATATTGTGCTGAATTCTGTAATAAAAATGTATTTGTGATGGGGAAGCCATAAAATAATTGTAGAATCCATTGCCTTCATGATGTGATAACTAGAGATTTAACTTCGTGCGGTATTTTGTTTTGAATGTATATGGTCTACTTCAATTTTTTCCTCCACAGATGTAAACTGCAGTAATAATACAAAACAGTGTGTGTGGGGTATGACTCACTCAGGTGCGTTTATTTTTTGTATTTGCATAGAGTGAAGACAGTCCGAGTCCTAAGAGACAACGCCTTTCTCATTCAGTCTTTGACTATACAGCAGCATCACCAGCCCCATCACCGCCAATGCGACCATGGGAGATGACATCAAATAGGCAGCCTCCTTCAGCTCGACCCAACCAACATCACTTCTCAGGGGAACGATGCAACACACCTGCACGCAACAGGAGGAGGTAAATGGATTAGTCAGGTTGTGGAGTGGTTTCTTGCTAGCCTGTCTGCTGATTCAGGCGAGACCTTTTTCAAGGCAGCAGGGATTCATTAGCATTAGAAGTGAAGTACTCCTAGCAGAAGACTGCTAGTTATACAACACTATATGATAAATATTAATTTTGAAAAATTTGTTGATAAATATTTGCTATTATCGCTGCTGAAAACTGGTATTTGGAAGTAATTAATGAGGTCAATGAAGTCTTCCTATAATTTTGTGTGGACATGTACAGTTTGAGAGGGTGGTTGCTCCTTAGCATTTTCAGTTAGAATCCATTTATTTCTCTAATACCGCACATTACATTAGTGCGTTGTACACATAGACAATGTGTCAGAAAATCAACCAAAAACTAAAGATTCCTATTTCTGGACAGGCCATTACTACTAGTTGTAGACTAATTATTTTTATAGTGCAATAAACGTGCATGACACTTACACAACTTACAACTTTGTCCTTCCCTAATAAATGTACAATCTAATTTCAAATGAGAATGAATAAAACTGACAAGATTGATGCAAGTAGTATCATGTGATTGCTTAGATGTGTGGTGAATGTATTGCAAGGGTTTACATTTTTATCTTAGTTTAGTTTTGGCCTATGGTTCATAAGCCTCTTTTGAAGCAAAGTTTTTTGAATAAGCTCAATTAGTCATGGAAGAACAGAGTTTTGGGTGGCTATGTTGAACTGGTGCCTGCACCAGTGCGTTGTAAAGCTTAAAAATAAAGACCTCTTCACTATTCTAGTTAATTATCCAAAACACAAGCGTTTGCTCCCTCACAATAGGTTTTGGAACTGTTTTTGTCACCTAACACGAATTTAAAACACATTTCCCTGTGTTTGCTTCAGAAAAAAGTGATACTTTACATTCTCCAGCTTTAGGAGAAGCCATACATTTTTATGAATGCAAAAACCAGGCTTTTGAGACCAGAAACAGACCCTTTTCTATCCCCAAAGTTAAAAATTGTCAACTGGCATTTTGTTAGTTTACTGAAGCTGTAGCACATTGTTACTTAATTTAAAGAAGTCTTTTAGGGTCACAAATCCTGGAAGCTTCGGGCCACAACTTGCAAAATTATATTTGTTTTCATACAACCAGCAGTCAAAACTAATAATGCAAGTCAATGAGTTGATTTCTTGGATTGTTGCAGAGAGAGGCAGTGGGGTCCAGTGGATAGGCAATTGTCTTGTGACTCAGGAGACCTGTATTTTATTTTCAGCTTCCACTGACATTCAACTGTGAACCTCTGTTTTACGCTCTTGTCCTCTGTCTTGTCTGTTTAGACTGTGACCTCCTCAGGGCAGGAACTCTTTGTACGGTGCCTTGCAACGGTGCCTTGCACAGTGGGCCTCGAACTTGCTTGGGGTTTCAAGGCACCACTGTTAATACAAATAAAAAGTAGATTATTAGTAAAATAAGCTCAATAGGCTTTTACATAATTCTGTTTAAAAGTGAAGTTAATTTTCCCTTCTTCTGATGAACTTGCTTCAAGTTTTATCAGGTTTAGTCTCTGTCACTATGTATATCCATTAATCTGTTACCCAGGTAACAAAACCTGTGCGTGCTCTGACTGGAGACTGTTTTGAAGCTGTCTGTCACCAAATGGCTAGCAAATACATCAGTATTGCCAACACCAAGCATTTAAAAAAAAAGTTAGACCCCGGAAAATCTTGATTCAAAATAAGCTCTTTGTTAGTCTGCCTTCTTCCCTCTACAGGCTCAATAATCACCTGTCATCCCACTTTGTGATTATTTAGGTTCAACATTCACCCTTATGTACACAGTGGATGCAAAGGTGGACTTCCCTCAGCTGCAAGGAAAGGGTCTGCACAGTTTGCTCTCCACTATTTGGGAAGATGGAGCTGCCGTTTTTTCCCCTCCGTCCTTTCCTTGCCATACTCAAGCTTCCATCCCCATTCTTCCTGCCTCCCCTGATATGTAACACACCACCTTCCCTCTGCCTTCTCAGTCTTGTACTCTCATGTTCCTTCTGCATCTGCTCCATGGCAGTAGCTCTGGTACTCTATTCCCTGATTGAGAACATTTAAAAAGTTACTGGGGGAAAAAAGTACTTATGTGAACAGCTAAATACAGAGAACAGGAATCTCTAGTTACAGACAGCTGTGATCGTTGTTACTGGCTAAGACCTGCATGCATCTGGTTATATTTATTTTTTGCTCCGTTTCCTCAACCTTGTTTCATTTGTTTGGTCCACAAGTTATGCCTTGTCTTTTAAGTTTTTAGAGACAGACTGTCATTTACTATTTTTGTCTGTTACCCAGCACAATGGGGCCCAAACTGGTTGAGGCCTGTGAGCACTACTGCAAGTTAAGTGCAAGTTGTGACTACTTTGCATGAGGCATTCCCAGTAATTCCAAGTTAGTCATCTGCTAGAGCTACACATCTGGAGGTTATCTCAGAGTTTCACCTAAGGAAAGGGACATTTCTTTGCTATCTGACATGTATCTGATCATCTAGGAGAAGTCTGTATGCATCAAGTTCTGTTTTTTCCAGAGTACTACGTTCTGCGCTGCCCATAAATCAGTATATAGAAAAGTGTTGACAGTTTTTGTTATGCTTTGTTTCCTTCTGGGTAATTAACAGAAGTAAAGCTTGACCATTGGCACTACTTGTGGACAGGTAAAGGCAGAACTGAAGCTAAAAATGCTACTGTGTCTAAAGATAAATGGCAGGGGAAACTAGGGCATCTCTGCTGGGTTTAGTTTTTTCAAAATGTTGAAACTGCCATCAGTGACTTTAACCACTCCAGGAACTTTTCCAAACCCAAGTCCTTCCTTCATATGATGTTACAGCTTTGCACTGATGTTAGCTGAAGATTGGATATGTGCTACTGTAAACAGTCAGATTTGTATATGAAGTTTAAAGGTGCATATAAAGGACGTTTAAATCTGAATTCACTAAAACTGAAATCTTGCTGCCTGCATTATTAAATAAAATATCTGCAGTAAAGTTACAAAAATTATATCGGTCTATCTTATCTGTAATGATGTACAACTGCGAACAAGTGGATTTTAGTAGTAATGCAATTTTTAGACATTTAAAAGCAGTCACTAACATAAAGCATACTTGAATACCTTGGGCAAGTTGACTTATATTGTAACTGACTGTGACATAGTACTGAATGTACACAACCTTAAAGCTAGATTTGTATCTGTGCAGCTTTAATTGTCTTGTGTGACTATGGAAAGCACTGCGGGTAAATCTTTCCAGATGACACCAATAATAGCTATGTCAGCATAACTTTATTATTAGTTATGCAGAAATTAACAAACACTATAATAGATTCCGAAAATGGAAGAATACAAGGGAAAAATTTATCTGCTTATAAGACTTAAATCAGCAAAGCTCTCTGATACTATAACACAAGTAATTATAAGCAGGGTTGGTAACAACACTTGTTGTTAAGGTTGCCTGACAGTTCCCATTATAAGACACTGTTTTCAGTTGCTTATAACTTTGCCAAACTTTAATAATTTGAGCTGAAATTTTCCATCCTGGGTGTTTTTGTCTCAGGGTGATTTGCGGGGGGGGCATTTCAACCAAAACAGTTTCAGCTGTTTTTGAAAAAAGAAAAGGAGTACTTGTGGCACCTTAGAGACTAACCAATTTATTTGAGCATGAGCTTTCGTGAGCTACAGCTCACTTCATCGGATGCATACCGTGGAAACTGCAGAAGACATTATATACACACAGAGACCATGAAACAATACCTCCTCCCACCCCACTGTCCTGCTGGACTACTGGTCTCTGTGTGTATATAATGTCTTCCGCAGTTTCCACGGTATGCATCCGATGAAGTGAGCTGTAGCTCACGAAAGCTCGTGCTCAAATAAATTGGTTAGTCTCTAAGGTGCCACAAGTACTCCTTTTCTTTTTGCGGATACAGACTAACACGGCTGTTACTCTGAAAGCTGTTTTTGAGAATGTGAGAGTAAAAAACGTTATTTTGCCCATGTTAAAACATCCTGGTGTCTTTTTCTTTGAGAAAAAGTACCCCATGGTTTGCAGCAGAGACTTGAAATTTGGCCAGAGGGTGGCCTATGTCAAATGTGCCTTTTCCAGTTCTTGTGAAAATCTGCCCAAATTATATAAGACTTGGAAAAATTGCAGTTTGCATATGCTCTGTAGAGACTTGCTAGAGCATAGCTATTTCCCAAAGATTTCATCTGCAGTGAGCGTGCTGCAGTGACCAGGCAAGTCACTGAAACTAAACTTCCTACAAGTAGTCATTAATTGCTCAGTTTCTGGGTACTGACTTCAGACCCTGGCATCTGATTAGCAGAAGGCCTGAGCGCACTTGGTTGCAAATGAAGTCAATAGGAGTGTACTTTGATCACCAAAAGAGCTATGTTATGCTGCTTAATCAGGTTTTAGGTGTCTCAAATTGGGCATCCAAAATGAGTGTATACTTTTTATATTAATCTCTGTCATAGTTCCACATCTGTAAATTCCGGATAATACCACCACCTTAGCTCACAAGGGTGGTGTGAAAATAAATGAAAGTTTGTGAAGCATTCAGCTACTACAGTAAGTGCCATAGAAAAAGCTCATGAAAAAATTAATAATTCTGTCTTTAGAGTAGGGTTTGAATAGTGTGCAGTAAATAAGGCCTGGGGCCACACACTGAATAATGAGGAGAAAACAAAATATTGAATAGCTACTCATTTAGTGAGCACCATCCATTCTGTGCTCTGAATGAGTCAGGGCTCCTGTAGGGAGAAAAAAAGTATGTGATCATATCCTAGTAGACTGTATCCTCATGCATACATACAAGATTGCACAAGCAACCATAATCCTGGCATTTTCTAACTGTTGACTGCTTGACTTGGCAACCTTCATGTCCTTTTAAGGTATCTTGTGTATACAATATCTGTATAAAAGTGCTTATGTTAATTTAGCTTGTGCTGGTTCTCCTGATTGACACATATTGGTTTAGTCACTGTATACTGAAATAATTGCATCTGTACTAAGGCTTTTATCAGTATACTACTGTCGGTTTAAAAAATAAAATCACATCTCTAGCCGACATATCAATCTTGACGGAACTGTCTAGTATAGACTTGTCCTCAGTATTGGATTATGTATGACATTGTTTAAGAAAGAGGCCTGTGGCAGTTTGTGACATGTCTTCCCATTTAATATGTTTCCAGTCCTCCTGTTAGACGCCAGAGAGCGAGAAGGGATCGCCTGTCTCGACATAATTCCATTAGTCAAGACGAAAACTATCACCATCTCCCCTACGGACAGCAACAAGCAATAGAAGAGCCCCGAGCCTTCCACCCACCGAATGTATCCCCCCGTATGTTGCACCCAGCCGCTCATCCGCCACAGCAGAATGCAGTGATGGTTGACATTCATGAACAGGTGTGAGAATGTTGGGTGAACTCACTAAGGACGCTGATTTCTCTAAGACTTTCAAAAAAAATCCAAGTAGTTGGCATTGAAGTTAGAACCTTGTGGGTAACTACTGCTTGCCGTTTGTTGTGGCAGTTTCTTTCAAGAGTCATAATGGTGCACTAGTAACATACAGCAGTGAAAATACCATAAAATATTGCTTATAAAAAAAATCAAATAAAGCCTAACAGAGAGTGAAAGTTACCGATTTGGCCAAGGCAGCCATTGGCAAAGGCCTTCAGATCACATTTTTGAAACATAATTTTTCTGCTTCTGAAGTGAATTTAGTTTGAGAGGGGATATGGTAGTTATGAAGTAGTCATTCATAAACACTGAAATAAAATGCATATCTTTAGCTCTGGGTGCTTTTACAAGATTAAAGTAGACAATATAAAAACAGAATTCACAATGCATATAATTGACTGCCTTCATGTGGATAGGATCTGATAGGTTCCTGTTTTCAGCCCCAAATCTGTTACTCTAACCATAAGCCCACTCCCTCCCCAAATGCCCCAGAAAGAAGTTAATCTTGCAGCATATCCCAAAAGTTAAGTTTTGTATTGTGAGACCAAGAGGTAGAGCAGTTTCCAGAATCAAGGACCCTTTGGAAAAAATGTCCCACTCGCATAGCCCCACCCTCTTCACATCAAAGGGCCTATAGCCCAAGTGCATTTGTTGACTGCAACTACATAGCATCACGTGGGGAGGAAGTTGGCCTGTCAGGTAGCGAGGTTGTAAACTGTTTAGAGCTTTATGTTAAAATTAACACTTTAAAACCTTGCCTGTAAACTAATGTGGTCAGTGCAGATAATGGATCGCTGTGCAAAGTTCTCCTCAAATAAGCAGACATCTACATAGTGCACCTGTGAACTTTGAGTGTACAAGTTTAAGCTAACAGTCCTTCTGGCCTTCTTAGAATTTTCCCTTATGTCTGAAAAGCGATCAATTTGCTGGAGCACCTCAA